CATCTTGTGGTATTTCCTAAATATAAAATAAATTAATTTTCAAAAATAGAGATAATAAATATCATAAAGTCACAAGAAAAAAAAAGAACAAACCTCCGCGTATAACGTCATATGTTCCTGTATTTTATCTATTGGATCATTAATGTCATATTCATTCTGAATTTTGTAATTTAAGACATCATATAATCTAATTCTATAACTAGGTATTAATAATGCTAGTTTTTGTACAATTATTCGAAGAACTTCATTAATTATAGCAGTTCCTGGGAGACAAACATCAATCATTCTCTTTAAAGTGGAAAATAATAATAATAATCAATGAATTGAATAATATATATAAAATATAAATATTTAAATAATTTCCTTATACCTCTTCCTTAACAGTTGTCCCGAGCCAATATACTTTAAAGAACTTTTTAGTTTCTAATTCAATAATACTAATGTCAAGCATTTTATAATACAATAATCTCGTTGAATTGGGCAGATATGTTGTTTGTAGCAGCTCTGATAGTGTTTGCTTGGTCGTCCTTTTAATTACAGTTTCGTATGTACCTGACATTGGATGTGCAGTTGAAAACCGTAATTTCAAAGGATCCGTGTTTAAAAAAGCAGAAACGCGTTTAGCAACCTATAAATATATAAAGAAACGAACATAAATGCATATCAATTAAATAAGTTATTAGATTAAAATTATGTGAGACATATGGATAGTATAATATTTATTGTTAGGATTTCTATATTGAACTTTCTATAATACGTATTTCCTCACTTTGCAATAGTAATGATGTGAAAAAATTTTAACGTACTTCGTCATATGTATATTTTTCATTTAAAATTAATTTAAATTCAGGTTTTAGTTCACGGTCTTCATGTTTTGGCTTAAATTCCACAACAACACGATTCAACAATGACTCATAGAATGTAGGAATATCACAAATTCGACCTGCAGCTGTATGTATTCGTATTCTAAATTAAGTAGTAAGTTTTCTTACGTATAAAAAAATGAATTGAAACACAAGACAAAATCAGGTTAATAAATAACTTACTCTTCTTCTGTTAAAACTTTTTGGAAACAAATTATATCGCCATTTTGCATCTCGGATTGCTGAAAAGTTAATATGGGTCTCATCTCTTCAATCATGCTTGGTTTTATTTCCTATATTTTAATAAAATAAATAGGTTATTTATGTTGTTATGATCAACCAAATATAATTATACATATACAATACACCGTACTTCGTATATTTTCAAGTGTGTGTGTGATGGAAAGTTCTTTTTTTCACAAAGAATTGGAATGATGTCACCAACTTTACCATACTTTTGAACATATAAATAACACATTCCTCTGTTTACAGAGGCATAAAAGATTAATTCTCATATCAAATGAATTAAGAAAATAAAGTTTAAAACACATACTCCAGAGATTGTGTATCAGGATTAAAGTACTTTATGAAGACTAATATATTAGTGTTCTCTCCAATTGGTGGGAACCATACCTACGTGTCAAGTCAATAATTAAAATAATGAGAAGAGGTGCGTTTAATAAGATATATAATGGATTGTTAAATATTAAGTACCATAATAGGTTTATCTGCTATTTCCAAAAACAATTTCATTTCATCTTGTCTTCGACCCATTTTTTTGCAAATTGCTTTCATATCTATTTATAGTATCACTAGTTAATAAAAAGTTTGAAAAAAATGATATTTTACATATGTCTTACCTATGTCAAGAAAATTATCCGGTATTGGAGTATCTGGCCTAACAGTTCGATTTTGGCGATTTACAAGGACCCAGAGCCTCATTTGCTCCGGTGAGATCCAAAATTTGTGAGCGATCATAGCTTTAAAAGTACTATATTTAACACTTTTTAAAACCTTAAATTGCGGAACTTCAGATAGTGGGAATTGTCGATTGTTAAAATTAGCAAGATCAAACCCTTGATAACGAACAAAAGTAGCTGGAGTCACGAGCTGATAGTGAATTGAGAGTAAGGCTTAAACTTTTATGAATATCCAAATTTATTACGTATTAATCCTCATAATATTGTCACGTAATTACCCTAATATACAAATAGAAGTGACGCTCTTCTGCTTCTCTTTGTTTCTGTGCACATAAAGCCTTCTCCTCATCTAAGCGTCTTTCTATTAAATATTTATGTGAAAGATAAATTCTCAACACAATTCTAAACTACAGAACTTCATAAATAAGAACAATTACGTAAATGTTCCGGTATATCTTTAGCAAGTACCGGAGATAGTACAAAATCGATATCAGATTCACGGATATACACCAAGATATATGCACTTGTAAATTGGTTAACATTTGTTCTACTTTCATTAGTAACTTCACCCCCGTAATTATCTTCAAGAACGTTTTGATCTGTTACAGGTGTAGCTCCATTATCATCAAATTTAAACCTATTATGAATGATAATTAATGTTAGTTATTTAACTTACTATAGCAATCTAAAGATTAGTTTTGTTTTATTAAAATTCAGACCATTGGCCATTATTTTCTGGTTTTAAAAGAACGTAATAGCTGCCTTCACGTAATTCACCATTGTGAACAATTACTCTAAATATCAAAAAAAAAAAAACATTAATATGCTTTAAAAAAATCATATCTACTGAAACATTGAATCCACAGTTACAAACCCATGAAGTAAATAATTATATGATATTGACTTATCGCTATCTGATGATAAATAGCTTTGTAAATCAATTTCCATGGGATATTCATGACGGTCATTTATCTGTTAGAGTGCGTATTAGTGTATTATATAATTATATATGATTTTTCAATCAACAAGCTATTGGATTAAAGATTAGAGGTCATACATAATATATACCTTAACTGTAGCATCTCTTTGCATATCATATTCAAATCGGTTTAATTGTATTCGTAGTACGGGCGGAAAACTTTTAAAAATTACACCTTTCTTTGCATTCTTATAGACAAATATGGTCAAAAACTTTACATTAAATGCAATTTTCAGTAGTATTATAGCTAAAAAATATGACTTACTTGCAAACCATAAGTTTTGGTTTGATATTTATTATTTCCTTCAAAAGATTCTTCACGAATATATTCTAAGAAAGAATCATTTAAAGTTTTGCACCCTTTTACTTCAAGTTGAATATCTATCGCGATA